TCCATGAAAAGTTGTGCTCTCATCATCTTTTTATTTTCTGTATGTATAAGTTCATATAAGCATATCCTTAACAGACAATCGAAGTTCAAAGGTGAAATCATTTTGTTCACAAATACTATACAATATATTTTTTTCAATATCACCCTCTTGTCACCTATGTTATCTTGGGTAGTTTTGGTTGAGTATGGTTATAATATTTTTTATATATGAAACTAAATAAATATAGAAATTGACTATTACAAAGATAATAGTTAAGTCCATCATATAGGATGTGAAATCCTGTTTTTACCTCTTTTCTGATTGATTGGACTAAAGTGGTGAATCTTTCAATCTTACAGTCTAACAGTGTATTTGAGCATTCTCTGCACAACTAATTCTTGATTTGGTAAAGTTGGAAGCTCGTGGATCATGACTTAATTCTGCATCAAGAAAATTTGAATTGCAGTGAATTTTCATGTTGACAAGGTTACAAATTGGTTTGGTTCATCGAAATACATCTTTATTATTGATTCGTGAGTGTGATAGGTTCAAGTGCTAGCTAGCAATCCATATTACTCATTGGATGATGAGGACGTATGATATTTATGCATAATAGTATCATAAAGTTCAAATCTATAGTCTTTGTTATAGCATAAGGGAGTTCATACTTCACATGGAGTGATTTTTGTGTGATCACATGCAAGTGACACTTATCTTGAAAGGGTTGATTAGCCATCTTTGTGAGATAAATTCCTAAATTCCAAGGTATATATAGAATTTGGTACATATGGAATACGAACACAGATTCAACAAGTTTCCTCAGTTGACTACCACATTACAGAGAGTACTCTAAGTTGCAATCTATATGAGATCAATCACATCATAAGATGATGCTTTATATATAGAATTTATCTAGATAGTTTTGATATGATCATCAATGTATCGGGGTGTGGCCATATGTTACCCATTTGGTTTCATCCATGTGGGTCCTGATGGAGCCTTTCATTCTTTTTGGCTACATGTTGTGGTTATTCTCACAGAAGAAGATAAAGAAAAATTACAAATCTCATTTCCGCTATCAAAGAAGCGCGGATCGTCGCTAGTCCACGGCTCTATCGCTCACTGTATCTTCGAATCGAAGATTGAATTATGTGATGTTGCTTCACTCATAATTCGTGAGCGACTGCAGATGCAACTTGGTTGAAGTGACAGTGGGCCAGTCTACGATTCTCTAAACTGGGAGACTTAGTTGGACGTGCTCGCTCATTTAAATGAAGAACTTAGGTTCTTGGAGTAGCTTCGTCATGATCTTGCTCCTATCAAATTGAGAATCTCGGTGCTACATATCACAATCTGCAGTTTTTATCTAAAACATGTTCTAGGCGGAACCCGGGTTAGAGTCTGGAGCCCTTTCGAAATTGACAAGAACAAACAAGAGAAGCGAGGTCCTCCCAGAAACAAACTGTGAATTGAGTTGGAACTGGATCGTATCACTTTGCAGACCGTATTAAAATGATGCTGTTGCGCTGCAAGTAAGGTCCGCACCAACGGTCTATCAAAGTCCTCGTTTCGTAGAACCCCGAGGTGTTTTATCTTGTAGCTATGGATAATTGCGATATTTTTTATGGACTATGCTGAGGTTTCGGAACCTTTGGATGCTAGACGCTTGCTTATTCACCCATGGTGTCTGTGGGATTTGTCCTTTCTACTTCTTGATCTCCGCACACCACCATCCATGTTTCTGTCAAATCTGATTGTTGTTCGAAGCTTAGATCGTTCACACCAGCAGATATTCTCGACTAAACTACAGCATGGAGTGGTCGGTCGTCTCTGGTGGGGACTTCATACTCTCGTTTGCATGTCATGCCCTACCTGCTTCTTGGCTTTCTGATGCTGTGAAACTTAGAGAAACACATCCATCCACGAAAGCATTTTCTACTATCTTCCAACAACTGGCCTAGGGTTCTTGTCATCACGTGCCCAGGAGCTCTCGAATCTTGATGTTTGCAAACCTCAGCCAACCTTCTTTTCCCTCCCCACAGATGTTCTAGAACATAGCTTGATTCTGGTCGGTTATGTATTTTACGGACCTTAGAACTCGTGCATGGCGTCCCAATGCCACCTTCAAACCTAGCTAGATTGTCTTGCTTATCGTGTATGATCCCGGAACGCATATGATATCGGAACATTCTCCAGCCATTCACCTAAAGCACTTTTCTCAGCGTATTCAGCATTTTTGTTTTGCTGAGCCCATGTAATGCTTTTTCTCCCAAGCTTTCTAGAACGAGAAGGATTCTGGTCTTCCATGAACTTACCAAGGACTTTGTACCTAACAGCGTGTTTGCTTTTGTGATTGTAGTAGTGTAGAGCTGGTGTACGATGACGATGCCTCGGTTAGTATGACTTGCGGGGGACCTTCAGACTCCACGCCGATTTTAGGTTCATGGGGACATGTAAACCGTGAGATGTTCCCATGACAATTAGCAGTTCTAACGATACATTCTGGGGCCTACAGCCACGCGCATGGCTGCCCTAAAGACGAACACCACCTGTGGCCACTTGGGCTTTACAGCACTATCAGGATTTGGTATCGCATTTGGATTCGAGCGCTCCAACCTCTTGAGAGTCGTATGCTGAAGAACCTTATGATTCATGGATGGACCCATGACACGAATAAGACTTCCCAGTTCCTTCCCACATGTCGCTGGACTCCAGTCTCCAGCAACAGACCCGAACTTCCCATAATCTGGACGAATGGGGGCTCGAGTCACGCCACCTACAACATAATGAGCTTCAAATTTGCACAGTGGTTGTTCGAAGCTTGATAGAAGTAGTTGCCATAGGCACAGGTTGGATCCATCGTTTTCTTACGGTTCCCAAGAACTCTGAGTGGTACACTCGATTCCCTTCGGATTCAGTCTTGTTTTTTGCCGCAAAATTCTGATTCTTTTGCTTTCGGCTTAACGACACGAAGCAGCCAGCAACGACAGAAAGTGAGGCGTACACGCAAGAAGTGATGGAAAAAGTGACCGTGAGTGAGTTTCGATGCCGAGTCTAGTGCATAAAGTTTCTGCTCCGTTCCTGCTTGCTGTGGAGGTGGACTAATAAGAGTTCCGGCACGCTGACATGTCTAATTGCCTACACTCGAAGTCATGGTTTGAAATTGATGGCAGAATATGAAGAAAACTGAAATGGATAAATTGAAGGAAGCAGTGTCATTTTCAAAGATTTCATGACGCAAATCTCTCGACGGCGTGCCAATCGAAGTTCGCTACTTAACTCTCTGCGGTACTATTAATGAAGCTGTGTGGTTTCGGATGTTATGGAATCAGTAAAATGTGTCCTGAAGGTGTTGGTGGACATCCTTATTTAGCGGCTTCGATCCCCCGCTCATACGTTTGAATGTTTTCTGAGGCGTCTAAATTAGAGATGTCTAAATTAGAAATTGAAGTCAGTGATAAATATATTTGACCATCATCTACAAATATTTTATCACTTACCTTGAACTCTTGTGCTATGTACATGGCCCCTTTTTACTTTAAATATATTTATAGGAACCTAACCCAACAGGTTACCTTAACTCTTGTAGACTCGGCCAGATCGATGACTATACCAAATACTTACCTCTGTCGATAATGAGTAAGTATATATATATATATATATATATATATATATATAAGTGATGCGTAACTTGAACCAAATTTTACATTTCAGAGAAATATTATTTCAATTTGAAGTACTGAATTAACCTGTGGTTGTTATATTCTGATCGAAAAGCTGCTAGATCACTTACAATAGATTTAGTCTAACACATGTCGCATAGACGATCTTAAAGACATAAAGTCAACATGAAGGTAATTGCTAGATCACTGACCATAAATTTAGGTAGAAGGCATATCGCAGATATCTTCTTAAAGACAGAAAGTCAACATGAAGGAAATCAAAGGTGAAAAGGATTAATTATGTAAGACAAATCAGAGTCTGAGGCCTAGGGACTAGAAATATTCTGCAAATAGATTTATGTAAAGAGAAATGCTCCAAAGACACTGTGCTCTTAACACTTTCTGGATTATGGAATATCCTGCGTGCAATCACTAGGGTCCGAATCCCATGAACAATTATTCACAACACTAATGGGCCTCAATTTCTCGAGCTTTTAACACTGAACCAAGAGTCGACTTTGGATAGAATGAAATGTATCATAGACTCATACTGCATAATATCAACGTAATGCCTCATAGTCTTCTGATCCTATTCTCTTTCCTTTGTTTTTTAAGAAGGCGAATTTGCTTCTATTCCTATGAGGATCGAGCAAGTTTTTACAAATGTGGGTCTGAATAAATATACACGAGAACAACTAGAGTTAATGGAGGCCAACTGAATTCTGCATTCAGCTCACATATTAAGTTATGTCAGAAGGGTGTTTCACAGCGTAGCTCTTTGTTTTTCTTTAGTCATGACTGTGTCGTGGGCACGAGCTGGTTGCTTTGACTCACTTTCCTGCCCATGCATGCATCGTTTCCTCTGAGTGTGCAGGGGAGGCAATCGAATCAGCTCTCTGCCAAGTGCGTCCTTCTGAGGAACCTATATTGATGTCATCTCCAGACTATCTATATCACCTCAGGCTTGCATCCTGTCAGGGACATCTGCGATCAGCGAATTGCAGCTGGTCCACACATGCCCCACATCCAGTCACCCATGGACCCATCGGACGGTTCAACGTGTTCGTCTTTCGTAAACTGTAAGTTTCTAGCGCAACAAGTGTGAGGAGAATGAACGAGTGATTTGCGAGACATATCTGGGTATGGCATGCACAGACAAGGGTGCGGATCTTCCCGATGGTGAGGGTGCTCATTGTTTGCCACTAATAGGAACCCCAAGGAGTTTGACTAAATCAGCAGAATTTTGCGCGATCCGCAGGTCCCAGAATAGCGCTGTTTCCAATGTGATTGTGACCTGGCTAACATAATCCAAACATCCATGTCTTGCGAAAAGGACAAATGACAGTTACATGAACACATTTCGAGCATTTTATTGTATCACATGAAAAGGTACAGTACTAATTATGCACTTCCAGAGACCCGGTATACGCACAACATCAGCACAGGGTGCACATGACACCCTTTCAATGGTGTCTGCGGATGCTCATTCACAGCAATTCCAACACTGCATTTGGTTCTGAAGCAGATCAACTAACAGATCAACTACATGTTGGGCAGGCAGGGCAGGACAGAGGAAGGAACAGAGACGATCACTGTACAAGCTCTCAAAGTCAAATGAATCATGAATCTCCTGTGCGCTAACTCAAAGTCAATGGAGGCAAATTAAGTATGAAACTGTCTTGACGCAGCATACTGATAAGGATTGTTGTTTTGCGAACCGAGTTTATCTGTGGCCGATTTTCTCAAATAATTCGACCGCTCTCCCTCGTATGCTTCCGTCGAGGGCTCGATAGGTTTTATCTGTCCTGCTGAAAGTTCACGAAAGGTAACAAGCATCCCATCAAAAGTGATGCTTCCGGTACCTTGTGGCATCATCACGTTGACCGGAGGACCATGTTCGTGACTGGGCTAGCATCATCCTTCCTCTAATTATTGGCATGTCTTTCTTCCCCACCCAGCAATTTGTTTCAGCTCATTCTGATACTGTCATTGTCATCAATCGATTCTCGTCAGGAGTCATAGGTTGATATTCCATCGCTGCTGCATTTGTACCGACATCGTGAGACCGCATACAATTGAGGTACTACGGTGGACTATACTCGGGAGGTAGGACTCGGTGAACGGATCTAACTAACTGACGTGCATGAGCTTGTTCTGTTTTCACACTTCACTTCTCTTACACCTTTTCTTTTAGAGGTAAGATGCCCAGCAAATCTAGATCTGAGGCTTGCAAGTGAGAACTCGTTTTGTGGAGAATCCGGAGCGAGTTACGATGGTCCACTTGTCACTAGTAGTCGTCAATCCATCTTCACCTCTTCCTGAGGTGATGGTGTTGCGTTGCGTGGCAGCATCAACATTCCTGGACTATTGACTCATGGACTTGACCTGTTTAAAGCTCATGTCAACATTACCCGGTCAAATGGCTTTAGGGCATAATCATTCGGCTCCAGCTGGATGCTGTGACTTGCACCGTATTCTGCTCTTCCGATGGAAGACTTTTCTCCAACTTTAGAGAACTGCAATTATTGCTCTGCTCGTACACACTAAAATGACCGCACCGCGATATTCTATTACCATCCCCTTCAATTATTTAACGATTTCTTGTATTTCAGATATTTCATAAATCCAAGGGAATACCTTCTCCTACTGGACCATATTGCATGTATTTGGACAGCTTGTGTTTGTTCATCCGTATAACGAGTCACGAGATGGCCTGGTGGACTGTCTGATTTGGTTGGCTAGCGGACTAACTTCGTAGACCGGACTTCCACCTCAAATTTAGTCGGCCAATTCCTTGTAATTTGTACATGAATCCTGACTTTATTCAGTGTGCTCCAATACCCTTACACCATCCTACTGACCATTGAAGAAGCTCTCCAGGGCATCTGAAGAACCTCTATGATCCGGGTTTAAAAGAAAGATAGCGAATATATAAAATAATATACCAAAAAATCTATATTTTTTGAATATTATCGTATCTCATTTTCGCCTATGTTTGCAGTTTTCTCCTCTTTAAGTTCGACTTTTACAAATAAAAGTAGAATCAACTCCTATTTTATATTTTTTAATTCATAAATTTATTGACAAATTTCACATATAAAACATGTTCAAGTAAAAAATATTTCACTACTCTCATCGTATACTTTTTATACATATTTGAAGTGTAAAGGATCATAAAAGTATACATGATACTTTACACTTCAAATTTCAGCATAATTCACGATATAATCCTTTATTTTAAATTAATATGTATAATCCATATGTCAATAAATTCTGTAAATAATTGATTATAATGTAAAAATGATGTAAATCTAAGTTCTCAGAAAAACATGTAATTTTTTGAATCTCTTGTGCTAGCGAAAACGAGCTAAATAAGAACATATTTTTTTCTACTAATAACTGCAATTTTATCTATTTAATTGAATTATTTTGTATAAATCAAAATTTGAGTCTTATTATAAGTACCCATACAACATATTTCTAAGCTACAATATGAATATAGATAACTAAAGCTTCAATTGTGTAGACAATCAAAGTGCATGTATCTTCTGAAAAATGCTTGACTTATATGCAACATGAAATTCTTCTAGCCAGCAATGTTTCAATTTTTTACTGAACTTCATTTTAATTAGGGCTTAAAAATTGAAAATTCTCACATTGTTTACAAATAAAATTTTGAAAACCATTATTGATATTTTAAATGTATTAACCAAATTATGTTGAAAAATGACATGTTTATCATGAGTTTGATATGTATTAACCAACTTTATAAGCATTTTTTCAAATATATATAGTACTGAAAATCAATCTACACCTTTTTGGGAATAATGCAAAAACTTGAACATCGACGGGTTTCTCAAAAAATCTTAGATATATGGTGAAAAAGTCAACTATTTTATATATTTCACAACTGCAAAAAAACTTATGATGTTGAATTTGGGTTTTATATGTCAAAATCATTTTGGAAAAATATTAGTACTATAATTTCAGATTACTATATTTTATGGTTTTAATTCTTACTCAATAAATTTAATCAAATTTTGCTTTACAATTTTTATTTATCATAGGATTCAAAAATATTATACAAAACGTTTAGATTCCAGCATAAAAAATATAAATTTCAAATCATCATCTGTTATACATATTTATTTAGCTTTTTTTCAGAAACAGATTGTTATTTTCAATTGTGTTAAACATGAAAATAAATTGAAGCATCATCTGAAATATATTTTATAATAACTTATATATTTATATATACTAGAAATTTGGAATACGAAACTTAGAAATGCTTTCACCACATGTTTGAAAGAAATTTTTGAGATAAACTCCTTTTATAATTTAGTTAAATTTTACATTTAAATAAAATATCCAATATATAAATCAGTATATAATTTATCAAATAAAAGTTATCTCTGTCTATCTTCCAATCAAATATAATATATATCTCTGTCTATCTTCGTAACCTTTTCTGTACTCCGATTGAATTTGAAAAAAATCGATTATATAATCAAAAAAATTTCTCATGAAAAATTTCAATATTCTTATTATCTGCAATTTATTTTTATTGCATATATATTATTAGTCCCATCTGGCCGCCAGATCTGTAAGTGACAGTTTCCCATCCTACGGCTCCTTGCATCCCATCGAGCCAGTTTCCTGAGAAGTGCGCTTTCCCTTCAGTAAGATATAATTCCTGGGAGAGATGTATTTTCTTATTTGAGGCCAAGCGCGTAGTCCGGGTCCGCGGGACACAGGGGATTTATACCTGTATCAGGCCAGAACAAAAACCAGAGCTTTTATTCGCTTCGACATTATGCAATATAATCCATAAGTGCGTCTTCTCCATCCTTTTACATACGAAAATAGTGATAGTTAGAAACCAGTAATACATGGCTGAGTTATACAATATAGCTCTGCACATTTGCATAGCCAAATAAAAATATAAGGAGGAATTACCTGATCCATATACTAAGTAGTTGATCTTTATGACATCCTCGGGGAAAACGTTATTTGTCGCCGCCACGTGCCCCTTGCAAGAAAAGATTCACAAGGCAAGATGGGCGATAGCAAGCCACTGCCAGACGTGGGCAGCTGATAACCTCCATGGACTCTCGACTCTCTTCTCCAGATGCCGCTTAAGAGCCAGTGAAAGTTCAAGCATCCCAAACACATTATGAGCCTAAGTCAGCTTCACGGGTGACCGGGAAGGGGTGATGAGCACCATGTCAACGTTGTACTGCACTTTTTCCACAGTTGACGGTTCAATTGAGCTCAACAGTGACCACAGTCCTCCCTGCCTGCCTGACTGCGGCCAAACTGAACCGGTTTGGGCTATACTTACAGCTTACGTACACAACTTTCTTGACGTCAGGGCACGTACGCAAACGTGGTCGGTCACCCTGTAGTCACATGGACCACTGGGCCTTGGCATGCATCGTATCCAAAGGATAGAAGCGAATGAGGTATTGCAGCAGAAAGGAGGAAATCTCGAGCATATGAAACCTTGCTTTTCCTTGGCTAATACCAAACGGTACATACATCTTCATCATTCCAACCGTGGCATATCTGTGTTATTTGCCATCCAAGAATTTTGCCTTGTGTAGGAACGGAAAGCAGAGGAGTGCAGTTCAGCGCAACTGCACGAGATTTGTTAGAGATCTCCTCCGGTGGAAGTGAGCCAATGAAGCGAAAAAGTTTCAAGAACACGCGTTGGTGAGGGGTGGGGTGCCCCGACCGTTCTGGCTGTAGTAGAAAGGTTAGCGGAAGAGATTAATTGCTTTTCAATCCGGAACAGTATGGGACGGAGGAGGAGGAGGAGCAGGACAGGGATGTAGGTGGAGGGAGGCTTCTAGAAGGATTCCCTTTTGTCATGAACTCGCAGCGTATATCCCTGGTCATCTCATCCGTCCAGTGCGTCCACTATGTTTCAACTATCTTTCCTTTTGACTCACTGACTCTGTGGCTAGCTATGTGAGTTTCATCATTACCCCAATCCACAAAGGAGGACCTCTTCAAGAAAGGTCACCAGGTCATCCTCACGTAATTAAAGCCTACTCGTATACAACAATAGATTTTTTGGAAAAAAAAAACATTGCATATGTGTGGACTTGGAAAATTTCAAAAGTGTTCCCTTCGTTGACCAGGTTTTAATCTATGATACTTTTGTCCTTTTGATATTTCAGAACACCATTTTCTGTATTATTATTCCTTGGTGGCATTAGCGATTTTTTGGTGAAACCGACAAATGTCGCTTCACTCGCAGCCAAAAACTGGCCACAGCCGAGAAGGAACAAATAAGCTTCACCGATAGGAGTGTCACAGCCAATCGGATTGCGACCTAGACAGGAAGATAGCTAAACAAAGTGACCGGGAGGGCATGGAGAGCACATTCTTCAAGAGCCTACTGATACATATCCATTGCGAAGATGGCAATGCCAGCCTTGAAACGGAGATACGAAGGCTACTTCTCTTCACTATGCACCTGTGTTTACGTATGCACACTTTAAAAGATGAATATGGCTTACAAAATGCTATTTGCTATCGTCCACAGCAGACCTTGCAATTTGAGGAAGATAATAAACTTCAAAATGGGACAAAATGTAATGGCAGTGATCGATCGTTTTTAATAAATGTAAATGACACTATTTTCCTTTGTTTCTTTCAAATCACCAATAAAACTTCTCTTTAAAGCTACTGCTCACGATGAAGTTTCAGTGTTATCGATTATGACATATTCTGACGCAGCTAAAACGCACTGCACACTATGATGATGTCTACTAAGGGAGCTTAAGGATCTCAAAAGTTTTTCATGTTGGGACCGATGGCCGATATTATCGTCATCTTAAGGATATTTCTTGCTTATAAGTTTCCTCTCAATTGTTATGTGGGCGCCCTTGAAGTATTTAGTGCACGTAATACTTACGTCACTATATGCTGATTGCCTAAAGCTTGGAATTTCCGTCAAGATGTGATGTATTGCACGACAGAAAACAACCCAACAAAACCTCATGTCTATGGAGATCAAGTTATTTATATACACTTAATCATGAAGCCGGTATAAATACCACACAAAATATTTATAAATATCATCGATA